AAAAATATCTGCCATAGCTGTAGAGAGACAATTAATTTGTTGTTTGGTAATAAATTATTTTTTTCATGTATCAAATTTGCATATAAGAGAGAATTGGTGAATGTATTTTTAAAAGTTTTGTTCAAAAATGATATTTCTTTCATTAGCTTTCTTACTTGATGATGGTCTTGATTGCTTAGCCATTATTTTTGTTAGGAATTAATTTTTAAATATTGTCAATATCCAGCTCAACATGGAGGATAGTTGGCCAGGTAATGAAAATGCTGGATAACATTGAGATTGAAGATAAGTTATTTCCTGTACAGTCAAGCACATGTGTGTCTGTCCCATATGTGGTTTATTTTTCAGCTGTAACTTTTACAGTACATATGATCATATTTATTTATTTAAGTTGACTTACAGTAGTATTCACAAAAACATTTGATGGCTGTTCCCAGAACAATAATTCTCATTAAAAAATCATGATGTAAAAAACATTTTTTACAATATTTTTTGAAAGTAAAAGAAGTCCTGAAGTAATCGATGCTTTATAATTGTGAGAGTTTTGAGAGAATGATAAAAAAGGATTTAAGAATTATATTTATTCTTCCATGAGTTCAAAGATGGAATATAAATAAAAATATAATTTAAATTTAAAATACCATTAAGATATTCATAAAATAATATGGCATCAAAATAATGAATGTGGCTGATCAGGAAAGTGAGGCTAAGATGTGTGATCAACATTGCTATTCTTGGTATGAGGAAGGTGACAGTTTATTGAGCAAAAGATAAGATTTATTAAGTGTAGATTAAATTATGTCTAAATTAAAGTCATAGTCCATACCGACAGACTGTAATCATATAATGTTTTAATACAGAATTTACAGCAAAAGTAAGTTGGTAAGATGCCTACAATTACCATGCTGCATTATTCGCAGAATTTACATTAAACATTTTCATAAAACAATACTGTTTTATGAACATTTTCATAAAACATAACATTTTCATAAAACAATACTGTTTTATGAAAATGTTTGTGATTGCATTTTTAAACAATATTATTATTTAATAATACTGTACCTTTTGTTTCTATAAAAATACTTTATGACATAGCTGATCAGAATGGATAGTATGTAGGACTGGATGATTGCAAGTCTACTGTATCAATAGTCAAAAAATTAAATCTTGTGAAAAATACAATATTTACATTCTCTCTGAAATGATAACATTCATTACCTTTAGTGACTTGTAATAAATATTCATAAAATTATCTTTTGGTTATGTTTTACCCAATTCTCAAACCGTGTCAGAGTGAATCCGTGCTATAAAAGTACCGTGTTATACGGGGGATGGTATCAATTCTCAAACCGTGTCAGAGTGAATCCGTGCTATAAAAGTACCGTGTTATACGGGGGATGGTATCAATTCTCGAACCATGTTAGAGTGAATCCATGCTATAGAAGTGCCGTGTTATACGGGGGTTACCTGTAATTATATACAAGGATAGATCAATAATTGCTTTCATATATGTTGAGCATATGTTATTGATTGCTAACAAACAAAATTAATATATTTTTAATGCACTATTTATCTAGTTAGTTCTTCACATATTTTCTGCACTTCTTCCATGCAATAAAAAGTTTTTTATGCACTTCAATTGCCAGTTTGTAAAAAAAATCTTCACCAATCACAGAAAAATATTTGACTGTACTGTAGGCCTATTGATATGTACTGAAGTTAATTAAAAGTGACATTTAAATAGTAATTTAGAGTTACTGTACATACTTTGTTACATACTGTAACTTCAGGTAAACATATATAAGCTTAATAAATAAGCTTAATTCATAGTCAGGTATACAGTAGAGTGTCGTTTATCCGAATTAATTGGGACTGGGATTGTTCGGATAACCGATTATGTACGAAAAAATATATTAACCTAGCCCATGTTGAAATTTTTTTCCGTTGCGTGTCGCTTTGCATTGAATTTTCGTCGATGTTAAGCCGAACATAAACTTTTTAAAATAATAATCGTGGCTATTGTATCGTTAAAAATTATTTTTTTATTTTTTACAAACAAAATAAATATATTGAAAAATATAAAATCAAAAAAAATTATACTTTAGAAGTTAATATAGTATCAAAAACGTTCGATTCAGCATGACACAGTCCTCGGAAAAACACCACACAAAATTGCCAGTGCTGCCAGCTAAAACACATACACAAACAAAAAAAAAATATTGGACTAGCCCAAGACATAGCCAAAGATTGCAGTGCCACAGCACTAGCGAAAATTTAAATTTGCTGACTGGAATGCTTTCGGATAAATGATGCTCTACTGTAATTACTTGGGCCACATAAAATTATCCACAATCACATAAACAGATTAAAAAACACATTGGACTAAAAGGTTAAAATGTTAATAATAGCACTGGAAAAATATCTGCCATAGCTGTAGAGAGACAATTAATTTGTTGTTTGGTAATAAATTATTTTTTTCATGTATCAAATTTGCATATAAGAGAGAATTGGTGAATGTATTTTTAAAAGTTTTGTTCAAAAATGATATTTCTTTCATTAGCTTTCTTACTTGATGATGGTCTTGATTGCTTAGCCATTATTTTTGTTAGGAATTAATTTTTAAATATTGTCAATATCCAGCTCAACATGGAGGATAGTTGGCCAGGTAATGAAAATGCTGGATAACATTGAGATTGAAGATAAGTTATTTCCTGTACAGTCAAGCACATGTGTGTCTGTCCCATATGTGGTTTATTTTTCAGCTGTAACTTTTACAGTACATATGATCATATTTATTTATTTAAGTTGACTTACAGTANTTCCCGAAAACGTGGTTTTATCGATTTTTCCACCGCGGTCGCCTCTCCATTGGTCTCTCCTCGTCACATGGTGACAATTCGAAACTCCAGGCAGGGCGCGGGAGAGGTCAACGTCGCGTCGGAACACGACTCCTGTCCAACCTCGCTTTCCTCGACTTTACTCTATCTATTGTTTAAAATGTTTTAACAAGACAAAAGGTTCATTGTTTAAATCCGATCTTTAAGTTCGCTCTTTCGCACTACGAAACTTGACTCGTTTAAAAAGTCGTTAATGGCCTGCTTTCGGACCCCGTTTGGGTCCTCACACAGGCACCTCACCCCACCGAAGTCAAGTGAGAGAGAGTACCACCCACAGTCATTCTAAGAAGTGAATTCTGACCTTAGGACTGAACACGTAGTTTCTTCTATGTTAAATAAAATTTGTAATCTAATTTTGTAAATTTGGAGTGCTTCAAATGTGATATTAAAACGGTTTTATGTCATTACAAGTGGGTTTTTTAATTAACATTATCTAGTATAGTAAAATCGTGGAACCGATAAAAATTTGACGTTATATTAGGGTTGTCGTTACATTCGATGACATCATACAGTATGTATATTGTTTGTGCAAAATAAAAAAATAATTTCGGACGATACAATAACCACGATTTTTTTTTTTCAAAAAAGGAAACTTTTCGTTACGCATCGACAAAAATTCAACCCGGACCGACACGCAACGGAGAGAAATTTTGAAATTGAATAGGTTAATTTCATCGAAGATGAAATTAACCTATTCATCGTGGACGCATCGTGGACGATCTCGTGATCATGGCCGGCGAAGTTTGAACGATCGCGCCCAAAAGCATCGATATCAAAGAAGATAGCAGAATGAGAACGAGACCTGCCTTGAGCTTCAAAGTGATTCCGTCTCCGAGACATAGTCTTGTCCCGAATAAGGTTTTGCCGTTTTACTTATTATTTTTAACATTTTCCACCCTGTAAGAGCGCCTTTTAATCATTCCAATCGTGCCAAGCCCATAACGGGGGTAGTCGGGTGTTTTTTAACTCTTTCCGCCTTGTGGGCACTAAGAGGGCTTCATTTAGCAAACCCATTATGAGTTCCCAGCCCGCAATGGGGACGGGGCCCGACATATCCGGACGGACCACCCTCCGAAAAATTTCTGGAGATTTATTGGCTCGTCCAGATTCTAACCCGGTCTCCCAGAGCGGTAGGCTGCACCCTTGACCGTTCGGCCATCCGGCTGTCAAAGCGGTCAAAGTCGAATCGTGAAGAACGGGACCCGATATATCCAGAACAGATTGCTAATGAAAAATTTCTGGAATTTTTATGAGAAATCTGTACTGGTATTTATTGGCAATCATTCCAAAAACGTTTTACAAATGCTTTAGGAATTCATCCAGATTTGATTCTGAGACAACTGGCGCAGCAGTCTAACGCTTTTACTGCCCCGAATATCCTGCCATTGGCAAGACGAATAATTGATTAATTACAATTTAAGAAATCTGGACCGTAAAAGAGATGAAATCCAAGAAAGTCAAAATCTCCTGGAGTTTTCGAGGATTTTTGGGGTGGTCTTTCTGGGATATGTTGAGTTCTGTCTTTCAGCATTTGGTCTTCCTGTTGTGGATCTGGCCGAACCCATTCAGGGCTTGAAAAAATGTCTCTTAGAGTCTACAGTGTGGAAATAAAGTGTTCAGTGGATTTAGCCACTTGACCATTGGTGAATCTTTTCATTGCTTGTCTTGTATCAACTAGTTGGGCATGAGCTTCTAGGCTATCGTACCGTGGTAAAGTGTGACGTAATTGTCACGTAATAGTTGTATGCGTTTATGATGGTCGTTACGCGGGGAATAATGCTTTCTAATAAGGGTAAGGGTAACTGATCCGTATTCAAGCGTTACAGACGTCAGAAAACCCGGAAAACACGTGGCTAGCCCGCGCGAACTCACGATCAAACTCCCAGTGTTCAGAGCCACCTTCATTGTTTCACTATAAGTATCTGAATTTTGATACGAAAATATTTCTACAATTATTTAAAATTTTTTCGTAATTATTAATTATTTCTAAATTTAAAAAATTAAAAAAAACAAAAAACAAAACAAAAATTATTACTTCCAAATAAAATATAATTAAAAAGTTTTTTTTTTAAATTTGTGTTTATAATTTTAGTATGGCAACACTTCAGCCGGCATTATTTTTGTGACATTTCAAAACATAAAGTGAAATTGAAATATTTAACACGTTTTAAATTAATATATTAAATAGCTAAATATGGAAGTAATAGAAAACTTTCAAAGTTTTAAATCGAGAAAAACGTAATTTTTTTTTTGTAAATATTTTTTTCTCGAGTTACTAACCGGTAATGAGGCCAATGCACGTTTAAAATTTCCCGACAGTTTTAATGTAAGGTTATATATAAATCCAATAAAAAGGTACAACAGGTTAGTGTTATTATTATTAAATCAGTACTTAAGTTATTAAAAAATATACATTTCAATTTTCTTATTTCATAAGAAAAGGGTATGTTGTTAAATGTATACAACATGAAAAACATTTATTTTTAGGTGGTTACATCTTGTTTCAGTTGCATAAAATGAACAATTTAAACTCCAAATATATCATTTATCAATATTTTCATTACAAATGAAAGTTTTGATCGAATGTTTTATTATGAAGAAAGCATACTGTCGTTCGGCATTAGATTTATGTACTTAATGAATTAAACACATACAACATTTTCAACTTGCAACATTTCAAGATGTCTTCCTCAAGCTGGCCCACTAGTGGCCAAGCAGTTCCGTTCCCTGAACACTCGGAGTTCGGTCGTGGGTTTGCGCCTTGCCAGGACGGGCTGGCCATGTGGAGTTTTCTTCACATCTGTAATGTCGGAATAGGGGCCAATTACCTTTAAAAAGACCTCCCGAAAGGCATCCCCCTAGGCAGATCGCCCAAGTGTTGCATTGCCATAACTTAATAAAACAAACTTTCTCAAGCAAAGAAAGAATACAGTGGTACCTCAGGATACAAAATTAATCCGTTCCGAAACTGAGATCGTATCATGAAAATGTTGTAAGGTGAATCATTTTCTCCTATACGATTACATGTAAAACCAAATAATTCGTTCCAACACTAAAAACACACTCAAATTAAAGCTAAGTTGTACATTAAAAAGAAATAATAACTGTAGTAAGGAAAACACTGAAAAATGCATTTTGTAGTTGTAAATGTATAAATAATCATAATAGAATAATAATTGATAAAAAAAAGTAGTTTATTTGCACTTTACCTTCGAGGATAGACGACGGTGGAGGTGTAAACTGATGGCGGAAGAGAGGGAGAAGGAAAATGATACTAAAACTTAACTTTCATAACATAATGTAACAATAACTTAGAAATAACTTAGAAAAGATAAAAAAAATTAGTGTTGTTTTTTATATATTTTTTAAAATTTTTGTTCACTTCTTTTTACTTTCTTTCCTTCACTTCCACCAGCACTTTCACTGGATAGAGGTCGCTTGGTAAAATATCTATCCAAAGAGGTTTGGCTTTGCCTACTTTTTAAAATGTTTCTAAAATGACTTAGG